AAAAAAAAAACAAACCAAAAAACCACAACGAGCCACAATTAGCAGCCAAGCCTTCTTTACACTTAGATTAAAAGACAGTTTTAAAAAATTTCAGCAAAAACACTTAAAACCTTAATCTACATGGGGCAAGCTTCTTTTTAATAGGTATTAACTGTCAAAATGAACTGCAGGCTGGGCTTCTTTGCAGCAGTCCTCTTGACAGGTTGAAGTAACATCTTCAATTACTATGCTGTTCAAAATGGATTAGCTAATACAATTAAAAACAAATGTGAAAACAGATGTCATTCACATTTGCAGCTTCAGCAGTGAAACCCATCTGAACCTGGAGACTTTCACTCCTACATGCAATTCTTCCCATTCGGAACATAAGGTCCATTTGATAAGGGATATGGAAAAAGATGTCTTCTTCTATTGTCCAATATTAACTTCTTTCATGGACAACCAGAAATAAGGATTGATCACTCCCAATGAACTTCTTTACTTTTCTGAAACACCCTTACTTCCAGTCACTATTTATCTACACATACAATTTTCTTTTTGAAGAAATTTCCACAATGATAATGTTGCATAAGCACTTTTACAAAGTATAAACTCAGTGTTAAATTACATAGCAGAATAAGGACCTCCCAAATACATAATTTCATCTGCATTCATTAGTTACATAGAAGATTTGTCCACTCAAGCACAATCATTCTATTATCATTAAATTCTACCAAACAATGCTTTTAAATTATGGACAGTCTCTGTTCATAAAAATATTCTGAATTATGCTTGAGTAGGAGACCTTTTACAATTTTTTTAAAAAATAAGTTTTACTTGGGTAACATTTCAAATAAGCAAACCCCCCTAAGAAATTCTGTAATCAACCTAATCCAATGCATGAAGTGGATGCTGGAAACAGGCTGCTAATAGAAGGTGGCATCAGACAACTCATTTGTTTTCTGAAGTAAGGATTCCCAGGCACAAGAAATGAGTAGTCACAGTAAGAGAAACAGATATTTTGAATCCCCTTTGTAAAGTGAACTTCACAAGTAAAGCAGTGTGGGAAAGTTTATAGCAAGACTGCAAGAGTCATTCCTAGCTAGTGAATAAACAAACCTGAGAGGAAAAGCTTGAGGGTTTGGGGTGGGGGAATTAAAAGTTACAGCCTCACTAGTAGCTAAAATACATTAATTACACAGACACAAATTTGTCCCTTACACAGCATCAGATTTAGCAACTTTGCAAAACAAAGTCCAAACAGAAGATTTAAATTGTAATCCAGAAAAAAGTTATTTATAAATCCTTTAAATTCTGTAGTTTTTAGAAACTATCATTGCCTGTCTAGTTAGTTTAAACTGTTTAAGACCTACTATTTAAACAAATATTAGAAACAAACTAACAATAAACCAGCATGCAAATAATGCATACACAAACAGATTTGAACCTTAGAAATGCAAAGTGATTCTTGGTACAATGAAAGTTACTCTCCAGATGGTTTCTGTTTTTAACACATTTGATTACATTAGAAAAGGTATTAAATATTATCTTATAGCTGATGCCACCAATATTTATATAACCCATCGTGAATACCAATTTTTGAAAACAGTGAGGCAGATTATTTTTGTTGCAAAAGAATTTCACATGAACATACTAGATTCTGATTTCTCACTCAAAACAGTTTTCATAAAGCATTCACGCAATGTTCCATTTGACTCTGCAATGCGCAATAGGTATTCTAGCTTTTCAGTTTGTTAGTCTGCTGTATTAAATGAAGACTTTTGTGCTCTGCTGGCATGGAAAATGCTAAGCACAATTGAACTGATTTGGTTCCAGTGCAGATGCCAAGAAAGAGTTGAGCAGTTTTACAGGGCAAGACTCTCCAAAATTAAGAGAACCAATCTTTTTTAAAGAGCACAAACTCACAGGCAATTGGAACATGACTACTTAATTCACAAACTGACCTATACAAGGTCAGGTAACAGTATATCAACATGCATGTTCATACATTCTGTAAACATAATAGGAAGGATACTGAATCCATAATCCTATACTTACAAAGATATACAGGCATCGAAAGATAGAGACAGGCATTTATTTAGATGTAGAGAAGCAAATAAGTAGGGTCTGATGCCTAAAGTCAAGGATTACTGAAAGTCAGTGGAGAGTTAGAAACTTGCTTTTTAATCCCTTTCAAAAATTCCAGTAGGCGACTACTTCCAAACACAGGTGTTGAAATACCTTTGAGGAAAACAGGGTTTTTTCCATTATTATAATGGCAGTATTAATTCACAAATAAAAGCATTGCTAAAAAACTTGAAGAAAATCCAATTCCTTCAGAGAATTGTCACTGTAGTGTACTCTATTTCGAGTATGGGGGTTTTTTTTTGCTTTGTTATAAAATTTTGTGCCTTCCCTAGTAACATAATTGAGATACTTGAGAGGGGATAAGAAACGGTCAGTTAATACTTTGAAACTCCTGTGTTAATTCTCACACAGTGATTATATTTCTTTGTATGATCCACATTCTCGTTTTGTACATATATTAACTGATGATCAGGCCTCTTTTACATTAATACTCATAGCACTTACGTGATGTTTTTGAAGCAAGAAGTGTGATTTTTGAACCAGTTAAAAACTGAAATCCTAGAACATTTGCCTGGTCATCCTCAGACGGATCAACAAAGTCTGAAAGAGAAAGTTAAGTACAGGTTTTTTTAGAATTTGACACTACTTTCAACAAACCTCAAGCCACAGCCAGGACCATATCAACCTCTGCATGAGCAATTTAAGAAAGGCTATCTGAATGAGGCTGCTCCCCTTCTTAGAGCTCAGAAGAACATCAGCAGTAGTTTGGTATACCCTCCCTTCATTCACAGGTGGAAGCTGAGCCACACACTGTTGCTCTTCCCCAGACTGGAAAGAAAAGTTAGGTTTCTCAGAGGTTCAGTCTGTACCTTCTAAAAAGAAGTGTGATTAGTGTACAGCCCAAAGACTATCACCTTTTACTGGTCGCAAGGTCACCTTTAATTCAGATATTTATGCAAAAATTATGTGGAAATTGTCATGAAAATGTTTAAGTGCGCTCTCTTTTCAGCTTTCAGCACAGAGCAAAACAAACATCTAGCTTGCTAAAACTAACTACTCTGCAAAATCCGTGTATGACCACCTTTATTTTCATTCTATGTAGTGGATCATACCAGGTTAAAAAGGCTCAATTTTAGAGTACCATATTTTCAAAACTACTCCATGTCACCTCTCCTCCCAACCTTCCCCTAAAAATAAGGCAAAACAGGGAGGAGAAGATATACAATTTTCATTGAGTGTACAAAGAATCCAAAGTTCCTTCGCAGATCACATCATGAACAGCATGCTTCCCACCCTGCCCCCATCACTGAAAACAGGATGAACCAAAATCAGAAGATTTTAATACCATCTTCTGGAACACATTAGGCCTATGCTTTGTGTTATATTTTCAACAATGCATCCCTAGGTTAAAAATAAAAATATAATGCTCTATTTTGAAAGCATTATTGCTTAGCCATAATGGAAGCGTATGATTAAAACCCCAAAAATGCAGACCTCTGAAAAGAAAGTTTCTCTGTTTCAACTAAGTATTACACAGCACACTCATTTGAGAGAAAAGGTATATTTACCCTCAAAGTGAAGAAAATCATGCTACCAAAAAACCCAACCATGCCTACTCCACTGCTCTGAGACAAATGTACTATATAAGCTTTTCAAAAAGAGATGCAGCTCCACCTTAAAAATATCATATTGAAGTTGTTGGCCCATACAGCTCTCTGACAACTGTTCCAGAACCTCAGCCCTCTGAAGTTCAGAAACTTAATCACTGCCAGACTGAAGTTATTCACAACCACGTTATAAGCTCTGCTTATTCATTTCTTCTTGTGCTAATATGATCATCTAGATCTATGATACAGACACAAAATATTTTCTGAAGGCAACTGTATTCTCTTTTTTGCCTGTGTTTTATTAAGTTAAATGAGTCACCTTCTTTTAATTCTCCTCTTCGAATCCCTAGATAATGTTCATAGCCTTTTCCTACACTTTTGAGTTTGAATTAATTTTTATTTAATATCAGCAACCAGCACTCAATGTGCCAGTGCATAGTAACATGATATTAGTTTCCTGTGTGGAAACATTTTGTCTAAGTTCTTATTTGTTTGCTTATGATAGTACCATATTGTACCACAGAGTATTCCTGTGGTAACTGCCACCTCCTTTACCTATTCCAAATTATAAGCACATAATTATAGGAGAAATTATTTTCATAACATTACACTTCATAGTACTCAATTTCATTCTTCTTTTTCCAGTCATAAATGGTACCTAATTCCTCCTTCATAATATTTTAATATGCTCCTGAATATAAAACATAGCTCAGGTTTGTGCATAAGAAAATATCACTAAGTACATGTCTTCTTTTCAGTCCAAGAAGGTTAATGAAATTAAAGTAAGATCAGCTCCAGACTGATATATCAAAAACTCCAAAAATCTTCCTCCAAAGCAACTGTACCCCTTATATACAATATTTACCACTCTTGCTTTGCCCTGCTGTCCTGGTTTCAGCTGGGATAGAGTTAATTTTCTTCCTAGTAGCTGGCATAGTGCTGTGTTTTGGATTTAGTATTAAACTGGGGGGAGATGGCCAGGGGGCAGCAATCACTGCTCAGGGACAGGCTAGGTGTCAGTCAGCAGGTGGTGAGCAGTTGCATGACTTGTTTTTCCTCGGTTTTGTTCCTCTTTTTGTTGTTTTCCTTTTCACTACAATTTATCATCATCATTTGTTTGTTTGTTTGTTTATTTCAATTGCTAAACAGTTCTTATCTCAAACCGTGAGTTTTCTTTTTTTTGCCCTTCCAATTCTCTCCCCCATCCCAGTGGGGCAGGAGGGTGATCAAAGTGGCTGTGCAGTGCTTAGTTGCTAGCTGGGGTTAAACCATAGCACCTGCTTATCTTTTTTTAAATGAATGCATGTTTTCCCCATTACAACACCACTGATGCAATTTTATCTAAAATGATTTTTCTGGATACATAAAAATTAGATCTATATCATGCCCACTGTGTAAAGAAATCCGCCGTTTTACCAGAGAGATATACTAGTCCAGGTGGATTATTATTGAAATATTATGCCATCATGTCTTTCAAAATATACTTTTTAAACATTCTAGCATTAGCATTGTTAATTACCTCATTACTTCACACGAACAAACAATTCCTGTTGGAGTTTCTAACACATTTCCTATTATAGATATATTTAAAAACCTACCTGGAAAAATGGTGAGAAAACTGATGGAAGGCTTATTGGTATCAATAGTTAGCTTGTGGTTTGCTGCTTTTGAAGGTTGAGCTGGAAAGCAAATTAACCGCAAAGGCAGCCTGAAGTTACACTGTGCAACTCTCAGTATTCCTAAAATCAAAGAACACAGATTCATCTTTCATACCCGTATTCTGAATACAAGATATCTCATACTGCTGTCCTCAAAGAGGTATAACAAGATATTTCAATGTCATTAAGGAATACATTAAAACAAAAACTATGTAAAATTCTTAAGTTTTGTTAAATTTTCCACCTAAAATACCTTTAAATTTGAATACTTTTAATTACCTTTTCAAGGGAACATTTTCAACTGAATGGGAAAGCAAGATTCATTAGCCAAATCCACTGCATACCTGTACTTATACCAATTAACATCCAAGGAAGATTAACATTTCATTTAATGCTCTAGACAAACAATTCTACTTTAACATAGATGACACCTGTGTGATTACTCCTGATGCTTCGAACACAAAACTGAAGTATGTACATTTTCATCAGGAATATCACAAACTAAATCCTTATTAAGAACACATTTACTGGTTTTTTTATACTCTTAAATAACATCTATGCAACCCTCATATCATCTGTCAGAGGTCTGTGGCTTAGACAAAAAAAAAAAATTTATCTAAGAGATTATTACCCAAAGGTATATTAAATTCTATCTTTCAATTCATGGCATCATAATAAAACAGAACTGTAGAACTAACTGGCTACTGCCTTTGGTATTGGGATCTGATACCATATGCAATTTTAGCAGAATGGTGCAAGAGAAAAGAGGAAGTTTTAACACTGACATTTAGAAAACATGTTCATTAGAATGTGTAAAAAGTTTGCTCAAATATAAAAATTTTTTTAAAATTGCCCGCATGTCAGAAATTGCCCAGTATGTTCTATGTGAAAGGTAAAAGCGCTAGTTGCTACGAAATACAGAGTTCTGGCTGCCCAAAAGAGCAAGATTATGGGGGTTTTTGAGAAGGATTTTTTGATGAAGCAGCTTGTTTTGTTTGGGTACAGATATCGCTACAGGCACCAATACTAATCTTATTGAGAACAGTATTAATGTGATAGCAACAAGCACTCATTGTCTCCCAGATAACCCACAAAACTCAAACATTAACCCCAACACTCACCTCAGCAGAATTTAACAAAGTATATTTTTAGAGAGAATAAAGTAAGTTACTGTCATGGATTACACGGAGACAGAAAAGTCATGAAACAGATAGCTACACAGAGGTTATCAGTCATGTAAGCTTAGCAGGTTAGTATAAAAATAGCGCTCAACCATTTAACAGTCATCCAAGCAACCCTTTTTGCTAACAATTTTGTTTGTTTGCTGCCTCGCAGATCTCTTGCAAAGAAGAATTATTTCTAAGACTCATCTCAGAGGAAAAATATTACTAGAAGGCTCAGATTCATTCATCTGGTTGTCAATTCATTAGCCCTTTTGGCTGGCTGATAATGCCTCCAAGTAACTATTCTGCAGCAGCTTGTAAAAAACGAAATCAGTGTAAAATGAGCAGAAAGCTGAAGACAGGTCGTCAAAACTAGTATATCCCTGAGTTCCAAGGAAAATTCCTGAAAAAATATTTGACAGTAAACCCATGACCTTTCAGAATGATTCACTCAAGTGTATCTTCATCATGACTGGAAAACTAAAATCTTTTCTTGATGACAACATAACACAAACATCTTACTATTGAACTCAGATATGAAGACTTATCAACAGGAAAAAATTAGTGACAAAACTAGCCAAAAAGATTTTGAAATATTTTTATATTTAAACAAGATGGTTTTCTTCTTGTTTCAAACCAGCTTCTCCTAGATAGTCTGCTCTCAGTCTGCCTAATTTTTCAATATTTCAGACAAAGGTCAAATCAAAACTGTATCAAATAGCATGTGGCTTTGGGAGGGGCCTGGGGAGATTTCTAGTTGATGAGTCCAAAACAACTATATGTAAGAAAACCAAGCCAAAAAGGTCCAACAAAATCTATCACTACAGTGAAAAACTCTTTCTGGTAAATGCTTTCAGAATATTTCTGAATGGTAGTAAAGAAACACAAAGCAGTAGCAAAGTGTGGGAGCCAGAACTTCCTCAATCCTTTGGTGTTAGGTCTAGTAATACATCTCACTTCATCTAGATTTGTGATACATTGCACAATACACAGTTTTAGCACTGTAATAAAGAAAAATGTGAAAAATCAGATTCTCTTCTAATCTGAAACACAACAGAAACTTTGTAACATTATCTCATAAGTTACTATCATTTAAAGGCATACTATGCACTTACCTGATAAAAGTAATAAAAGTTACATGCATTGTAGTTACGATTTCACTTCCAAATTACTCATGCATTCATCTTAATTATATTTGAAACATAATACTGATGTACATGATAAAAAACATTAAAGCTCAGATCTCTAATTTAGGATGTTAATTATTCAGAGAATTTATGCTTTCTCTGTTATTGACAACCCTGAATTTAACTAGTCCAGTGCACCTCACAGTAACCCAAATAAATTTTGTCCCAGATAATTCTACAAAGTTTACTGTGCTCCACAATATTCTCTTCAGCATCTTTCATCTCGAGTAGAAATTTCTTAAAACAAAATCCAAATCTTCATTTTAGAATGTTACCCTTTCAAATTACATACATTTATTTTTATATAATTTATACGTTTACTCTGTCTTTTAGTGATTTTTTTAAATTACTTTGTATAGCAGAAATCTGCCACATGGTGACAGCTATTCTTGGCAAGAGTAGTATTTTATTGAGATGGTTCAGGCATCTGTTTCCTGTATGGCACCTCAAGGTCCCCTGATATATCCAGAAACCAGAAAACGAAGGCAACCATTAACAGTTATCTACTTTTTTACTTAGTATGCTCGTAAGAGCATAAGTACTGAAAAACAAGACTCAAATATACATAGATCTATACGTATAACTTCTGTTTAGGAAAACTGCAAAACTGAAAACACCCTTTCAGTTGATCTCTAAATCTATGACAAGCAATGTTTTTTCCCTCCCCAAAACATGAGGGAATTTGTACTTAATATATATTTTTAAAGTTAGTAAAACATCTCCTGCAAGGACTGTATGTTTTCAACACATGTACAAAACTACATTGCAAAACTACCTTTCTCTCTTTTTAGCCTACCTATATATAAGCAAACTTTCCAGTCCTGATTTGTCTTTTAATTGTACCTTTTGCAAGTATCATATCTACCACAATTCACAGGTAAGTTTTGTACTGCTGGTATTCTCAGTTAGAAAGCAGCCTTTTAGCCTTGAATAAGATGTTTCCAATAGGAATTGGAATGAAGAGATGTTAAGTGACAGACCTACTCAGTCCAAACAGCATAGCATTAGCTACAAATCCTTAATAGCTGTTTTTTGCACCAAAAAAGCTATAATTTAGCTGCCTAAGTTCTTGCTGAAACTGAAAAAAAAAAAAAGCTAAAAATATGGTAAAGAAAGAACATACAATTGTGTTTTCCATTTCCAATCTCAATGCACAAGGCACTTAATACTTTGCGAAATTCCTGTTACATATGAGAAAGTGCAATATACTTCATCAAGAAATGTCTTTACTACTTTCTATTTTCCCCATGGGTAATTGTCATCTTATGTCTAAGCCTTATTTACTTTCAATTTTCTTAAATATTCACACCATAGCATCAAACCAAGGATAATAAGAACTTATAGAAATAATAGGTAAAATAACAGCTCCCTTCCAAAACTGCTTTATTCAGCATATTCTGCCACTCATGAAACTTCACATTTTTTCCATTCACTCACCTTCAGGATTGAGCTCTACCGTATAACCAGCAATGGGACAAAAGAGAAAAAAAAAAAAAGAAAAAGAATACATAAGATGCTACTCAAATATGGAAAAAAGGAAATGTAGTAACAGGTTTTAAAGAACTTAAGCCACATTTGTTAAATAGACAATACATAAAGACATAATACTAGCCAAAAAACGGACATGAGACCACATTCATCAATAGTGCAATCCCATCCAACTGAATGACTCATTAACCTTCAGCTGTATGAATCCCACACAGATACGCTGAAGACTGATTTGGCCACAAATATGGATATCTTAAAAAACAAAAGAGGAAAAAGTCTCTATTCAGATAAAATGAAGTCACAAAGGCACCTAATTTCTGTTTACCAGCATGTTACACTTAAGGATTTGATTGCCTTGTACAAGTAACACTAGTATTCGTATGTAATTGAATAGAGTTATCCCAGCTTAATAATTTAAATGAATATCCAAAAATTCAGCAAGATCTTAATTATGCTCCTTTATCTAGAAGTCTTCCAAATTTTACCATTAAAGGTAAGTTTTTAAAATTCCTTCTACAGTTCCCTAATTCTGTTAGATGTCATGTCTTCTGGGGATGTTTTTAATTCCATATAAACAATCAAACATACTTAAGATACAAGATTTCTTTACTTCCCTAATCAAAAGACTTGCAAAATCCAACCTCATATCTAAAGTATAAGAGTAAGTTTAACTAGTATCACCTGAAAGAAATAATACATTCATATGCTGGTGAGAAATACCCTTTGACACTCTGGTCTTGCAAAACAAAATCACAGAAGCAGACCACCAAAACAAAAAGCAAGCTTTCAAAATCAGAGGATCCAAGATGCTCAAAAGTATACTACCTATATAGTTGTACCACAAAACCTGTCTAAAGCCACATCATTAAGTTGGACACTTATGAAGGTATAGCATCTCATTCACAAGGAATAAGCAGTCAGTCACAACACAGAGGGACTGAAGTTGTAGAAGCTGTTTGGGCAGGCTCTCAAGAAAAAGAGAAGAGCACCCTTTTCTCTCCCACCCTCTGCATATATCTGCAAGCCTTGTCTAAAGAGGGTAAGACCAAGTTCTTTAAAAACATGAGTTTCAGTTTTGTCCAGAAATAAACATTTCAATCATCACACAGCCTAGACTATCATCATTAACACAATGTTTCGAGTGAGAAGTGATGGGAGGTAAACGCTTAGAAGTGTCTACACAGGATAAGGTACTCAAGACCACCACCCTTCACAGAAGCTCTAACTCCACATGCATTTCTTTGATGCCAGACTACTCCATGTCACCCTTCCCTTTGTGCTGGCACAGCTCTGTGTTTGCACAGTGAACCAAATCAGCAAATCTGGCTGAGAAATAACTGTTGATTTTGTGAGCACAACAGGGGAGGAGGTGCAGGAGCAAAGCCAAGCAGTGAGAAGTGAAGAACAGACAGCTTAAACTGGTTTATGCTGCATTTAACTTAACATGGAAGCCCTGCCTAAATACAGTTTCTCAATAGCCTGTCACATTCACAAGGCTATGTGTAAAAAACTAAGCTAATCAGTCTTCAGTTATGGATAGCAGGGTAAATTTACATATTCTACCACTAGGGTCATTAGGGCATTATAAAACAGAACAACTTAGTTCCTATTCCTTTGGGTTAGTTTATTTGTTTAGAATGAGTATGTTCAACTGTTAAAAGGGAAGTGAGGAATAATCACTCCCAACACTTATCCAAATCTTCTCTGTGGGGAGGCAGTTATTGTCACATTTCTTGGCAGCCCAGAAGGCTGAATAGTCATAAAGATGTAATTAACTTGTCACTCAAAGAGGTGGTTCCTTAAAGAGCAGAAAAGAAGCAAATTGATAGGACAGGGTGGGAAAGCTTATGCAGCTGCTTCCCAAGCCATAAGCGTATGATTTTTACCTCTGTAAGACCAATTACATGACTTACCGATACTACGTAAAATATTAACTAAAGCTGAAGACTAGACTTTGATACACATTATTTCTTTAATTACTACTGCCTTCAATTTATTTCAAAAGAACATTTTTAAGAAACATGTAAAGAAAAAGACCTCAAAAAAGGCAAATCAATTTCAAATCTCCAGTGGCTTACCTGTTGGTGTATTATATGAAACCACACAATTTCCTTCTAGTTCTGATGGAGAACAATTCCCCTTCAAATAGACAGACAGGACTACAGTTTCAGATGAGTCTGGTTCTAAAAAGAATACAAAATTAATCAAGTAATAGGAGCATCCAAATGAAAGCAACATATTTTCTAGCACTTTGAGAAATATTCTACTAAATTATGATAGTTGTTTCCATCAGTTCACCTTTATCAAATCACTGGGCATGCTTTTTTTTAAATCCATGATTTGTAAAAGGCAAACTAGTCTCTCCAACTTATCTTGAAGCATAACCAATAGAACAATTCAGCACACTGAGAATATCAAAACAAATGCAGTTTTATATTGTGATTTTAATATTTTACAAAGCCATCAGCTCTTTGCTCCTGTCAAATGTTGAGAAAACCTAAGAACTGTCCTTTCAGATGAGAGCAGCAGTCAATAAAGCCCTGTTTCAATAGGGACCATTACTGCACATTTCAGAGCAGAAATGGTCTGCAGTCCCAACTGAGACAGCAGGACACACTCCTCCGGTCTTCAGCTCCACTTACTCTTCAAGGCAATCCCACCTGCAGCCTTATCAACAGAGTCAGAAAAAGGCTAGAATCACCAAACAGTTGATGCTAAGTTGGGAACATATGCTAGACTGTCTACAGGTAAACAAACTTTCTGTCCTTGCTTTTAGCTCAGCAGTGTCATTTCTACATAGACAGAATTGCCAGCAAAACAAAATGCCCCAGCAAAAGTACCACAGAATAACTGGGTTGGTTTTTTCCTCCATCATGAAACAGCCACCCTGCCTCACCTCACCTGCCATGCATCATACTGCAATCAAGGAAGCAAGTCCATTCCTTTCAACTTTGCCTTCCTCCACCAAGCAGTATCTAGAAGCTGCGGAATGCAGGCAAGGCAAATTTGTAATTGCTTTAACTGCGGTATATCTGCAACAGTGCACTCAATGGAGGCTGGACTATACCTTTCAAACATCCTCAGAAAAAGTAATATGATACAATAGCTGTAATGGCACTATAATAATTTACCTAAATCATCAAAGATGAACTGGTCACAGGTCACTGCTAATGGAGCTTGTACACATACCGCCAGGTTCGGTTTCTGTGCAGTCACTCTGCTCTGTATTGTTATCTAAATCAAATGACATACAGAAGTATTTACAGGAAGCAACAAATTAATCTCTGTATAGCAGAAAACAAACACAACCAGCAAAAAGATATGAAAAACCTGCAAAGAGCAATTCAGCAACAATGTTTAAGAATGACTATTTTCCTTTTGCAATTCTTATTTACTTACAACCAATAATGGAACACAATAACTTGAAAGATTACAAAAAACTGAGGGGATTTCTCATGTTCTTTGTAATTTTAACTGAAGACAAACTAATGCTAAAATGTTAATTAAAATGTTAATGTTTTGCAAGTGTCATGTGCACTTGTTCTAATGTAAATAAAAATAAAATGTTGCCTCTTTCAGGTGGCTAAAGCAAAAAAACGAAAAGAATAAAAATAAAGCTAAACAAAGAAATTTTCTTTAACTGCAAAGAGCAATGCATATTCTTCTGAGTAACTTCAGAGTCAAGTTCTATTTGATATTTTACTGCAAACAAATTCTAAAATTCAATATACAGGATATCCAGCACAACTACAACTCTAGACTATGAATGCTGACCTAACCACAAACCTTAGAACGGCCCTGGTTGCTTCTATGGTAGGCAGTTATTTCTCTGCAAAACCAATGCATATCAAAAGAATGTCCTTAACTCAGATCTAAAATGAAAGTATAGTGGTGACTGAGATCTGAATGTGGTCTGCATATACACAGACCATATCTGCTATCTATTATCTGTTTTGTATTGCTGGTCTACCAAGGAGCTCACTACAGCCAGGTTAAATCAGTTCAGGAAAAATTATTAGTTATAAAATGACTCAATGTTAGGAAGTTTGACTATTTTAACAGAATTAACATCATTTTGGTTAACATTTATTTTGGTTTAACAACACACTTGGGCTGCAAACAGGCCCTCGGATCATCCATCGCTACTAATGCTAGCAAGGAAGGATCACATCTACCTCTGCGCATGTATCAGGTACACTTTGCGTCATTTTCTGAAGCCAGAATCTCAGTAACATGAACAATGAAGATGGAATCAATAGCCTTACAGATGTTATGCCAATTAAACAAACTAAAAACATGCAGACATGAGACTGCACACTTCAGAATTTGTAATCAAGACAGTGACATTTAAAGTTACTGGCAAACGTCACTTCAGTGCACTTCTCAATTGTTTTTGGCTTTCTGCTGCATGTAGGAACCTGAAGTGAAGAATCCTCTTATCCAGAAACTTTTGTCAAACGTATCTAAATTTATTAAAACTTTTCTGACATGCCTGTCATTGGTGAACAATTATATTAAAAACTTAATTTTTAAATGTAAGTGTCACAAATTCTAGAAGTTTTTTTACAGCACAATGTATTGCCTGCAGATTTTTTGGGTACAACAACCACCATTACAATGGCCAAATACCATTCATTAGTGACATTACCTAATTTGCAGAAAACATGTAAGGTATGTATATACATTGGTTGCAATATTTAATTTTAAAATTTATCAAAATTGTTCTCAACTTGTCCAATTTCAGTGGTTAAGTTCAAATTAGTCTGACAGGAGTCGTAACATGCAACTATAATGTACAATTATTTCTTACTTTCATAAGAATCAATGCTTATAACTTCGTAAATATTAAAGAGTTTAATCCATTACTTAAAAAGACTTTTCCATCAACTGCAATTAATTAGAATGGAGACATATGAAGATCAGTTAATTTAACTCATCACAGGAAAAAATATTCTGGAGAAAACTGAATGCATAACTCCTACATTTACTATTTTTGTTTCATTAAAAGGTGTAAGATGCATAAACAAGAAAACAGAATGGGGAATTTTAAAGTTTTCCCATTAAAAAGCTTATCAAATACATAAACACAGCCGCATTCATTTTAAACATTGTTTACCATTGGCCTTATAATAGCAATAATGAGCAGATGAGGGAGAATAATGGAAGTTACCTGTATTCCCAATACTGAAATAACCGCTCTCCCAAAAACTGAATTTGGCAATTATAAACACAATACTTTCCTCTGTAATAACTCACTTAGACAATATCCTGGCTCCAATGTAAACTAAAAGCTGATAAATTCATACCTTTCTGGAGGTAATTTAAATTAACATTATATATTTTAAGGTACCCTTATATTCACAAACAGCCTGATTCAAAGTCCAATGCTATTCATCTGAACTTCTTTGAGCAAAACTGTCACAGACTTTCAGGATTATGATTTTATCCTGAATCATTTTAGCATTTAAAAATACAAAGATGTTGGACCAGGTACAACTAAACCACATTAATCTAAGGCAATCTGGTTCAACAAATAGTCCAGTTACCCTCTGAAATTTTCACTCAAGACAGAGGGAGAATTTGCAAGGTTTTCAAAAATAGGTCTCCATTGATATTCCTAGAAGACCCTCTCAAACTCAGAAATAAAAATCATGATCCTTTTTATATATACTGAGAAGAAACTACACTTGCACACACACGCATGCACGCGCACACACACACACTTTCTTTAGAGTCAGTTACAGGCAGCAACTCATGAAGGACTGCAATGATGTCAATTTTCAAATTAGATTTTCCTAGCATTTTTTTCACTAGCAAAACCTATGAAAGTCTTTTTACGAAAGGAGTTCTATTTTTGTTTATTGACAACTAAAAAGGCAGCTGAAGATAAACTTTACATTTCAAGTAACCATTTATTCCCTTTGAAAAGTGTTGGAAAAATTATTCTTATAACTTCAAAAACAACTTCATTCCATTCTAATAATGTTTTTGTGTCTGCTTCTTGATAAGCCTATCAAAAATAAAACTCCAATCACCTTCTGACTTCATCAGAAGGCTTTCTAGAACAACACCTAAGGAGAAAAAGAGTTAAGTGTGTATTACATTCCAAATTTTACACATTTTCATGATCTAAGTGAAATACACAGAAAGAGACAGGTTTGTTAAAATTTGCCACCGCTATTTGAATGCTACTGTTTGAGTTCGGCACAGTACCTTTACTGTGACTGATGGTACTGCCTCTGCTTTTACCTCACTGTCAATGGCTTGCTGTGAAGAAAAAGATGAAAACAGAGTAAATTCAGTATTACACATGAATGAGTGAACACAATGAATGCAATATTACTTTCCTACCATCAACTTGGTAAACAGGGAATTAACAGTAAAGGACTTATCATTCCTATGACAGATTAAAATACACAAAATACATTTCTGAGTTCCTTCTGAAAATGTAAAGGCTCTGTTTGAAATTGCCTGCAAAAAGGATAGCAAAAGGTCATGAATCTTGTGTATATAAGAAACGAATACACCCTGATGTATATATGTATATTTGAAACTGTTTTGTTTGGCACACTACTTTCCACTGTGTATTTATTTAAATTCTGGAAATACCTTCAGTTATTCAGTAGGGAAAGGTGACTTCCAATCTGCCAATACATTATATACACACCAGAGTATGTACTATAAAATCACCACCCACTATCTTATAATCAGAAATATATTTTGAACTTCAAAAGAAAATTATAGCAGGCATCTTACTATCTTGCTAATTTCTATTTCAACAGGCAATTCCATCTAATTCAAAATTCATCTTGACCTTGCAGTCTGTTCTAGTATCTTATTTTATGCTTATATTTCATTTTGCAACAGGTCAGTCCCTACAGTTTAAGAAAGTGCTCCTGTTTGTTTAAACTATTTTATTTTAAAGAAACACTTCACTTCTGCTATGATACCAAATTACTGACTTGAACTTACACCTTCTCATGATAAAAGAGTAAATTAAGAACAATCTGATGGCCTCTACCCCACCCCTTTTCATCCCAACATGCCAGTATAAGGTCCACATCTGCAAAGTTCCTAAGAAGTCAAGAAGCTGGTAGGGTCTCTGGGTTCTAGAAATAGGACTTCATTTGTACATCGTGTCTTCTTCAGTTAAAAAAACATAGCTACTTTCATACTTGCTTGTCATGCCCACTGTCTCTGGTGACCAGTGGTTGATCCTGAAGCAATAGCAGGGGTGCAAAGAGATAGATCCTTACCCTATTCAGCTTTCAGAGATCAGCTGGACTTCCTGGACCAGAGGCCATACACAGGAGGTGGTGTTAAATAACCAGAATGGTCCTCTACTTGCTTATCTAATCCATTTTAACACATCTGTATCGTCTTTGTTTTTACCACACAAATCGCGATTTAAATCTTTTCACAAGTGCAGAAGTAGTATCTGCAAGCCTGTACCTTCCAAGATCACTGCAGAAGCCCTAAAATTGTTCCCACATTTGCTGTATTGATCTTTCTGCATGAAGTATCTTATCAGATTTTTCCTTTCTAGATGACTACTGAAGGAACCCCCAGGAAAGCCTACCACACAGGAAACGAAGATACATGGACAGCCTTGGGAAATAAAGATTCAAGGTTGTGGTTCGGTTGATATATTGAGTTACTTATATATGAAATAGACCATTTGCATCTGGAAGGTTAAGCAAGTGAGCACAGCAGCATTAGAGCATTCTATGGACCTAACAGTTCTAAGGGTTTGAGCAGATTACTGCAGCTAGCCAAGACCATGTCATACTGTCCTTTTTTCCCCACAGACAAGTGCTAGGACACTAGCACACATTATAAAGAGGTTCCTTTATCAAATAACAGTAGTAGAGGTAGCAGTAGTAATAGTAAGAGAGTTTAAATAAATTTATCAAGTGTAGATATAAAAAAAGTATTAAAAAGCAGCTCCTTGTGTATTTTTTAAACAGTAAATAGCCCTGAAATCAGTTTTGCAGAAATTAGGGGCCAGAAATGACTAATTACAGATGTTCTAGTGCAATGAGTATGTTCTGAAATATTAAAGTGAAAAGTTTTAAGAGACAATATAAGGTCTCCTGAATCTTAATTTGAATTACTTTTATAAACTACACATGGATACAAGATGAATAAACTAATATTGAATGATGCCTTGCCAGAGAAAGATTATTTCTTACAATTCATCTTTGAGTGGTTTGTGTATTCTATCTTTAAAAGATCTACAGGGTGACACTTCTACCGTTTCCCCCCCATATTATTAGCTGCTCACCATTACAAATTCTTAGCACTACAAAGTTATCCCAGATCCTAAGCTCTCGTTCACTTACATTTGCTCAGCCAAGAATCTAAAGGTCCCCAGACAAAAGATACTAAATAATTTTAATAATTCTAGTTAAAATTATTAACAAAAGTGTGTTTTAATTGATGGAAAACCGGGGGCTATGCAGAAGCTCAGTCCCACAAATATAAATACATAGTAATCACTATCTATGATCAACCATTATTTACTCATGTATGAAACCAATGTTTTCAGAGCAATTTCCTTTTTGTACAGGTACATACTGATTCTGCATCCAAATCCGGCGAAACTTCTGCTGTGACAATTAGATCTCTGTGTTTTTCTGATTTGGGCAAAATATCTGAAAGAAAATCAGCTCTCTTTAACAAATATGCAGCCACATTTCTAAAAATAATACAATTTCAACAGCATCAAGTTTCAGACTTACATCTTTACACCTACTAGTGTGAAGGAAAAAATAGTAATGCATATGATTTTTGACCAAATAAACTTCCCGATTTTATAAGATTTCTACAGACAACCAAAACCTGAATCTCATTCTGGATTTCTGATTTATGTATGAAAAAGAATTTAGATGCATTCTATAACAAGATTTTACACCTACTATCCATGATCTTCAGAGACCATAAGGAATTTTTAAACTTTTGTCCTCACATGCATATGCTAATACACCTATAATAAACAACCATCTCCAAAATACACACTGCAAATCTTGTGGCACTTTCATCTACATTATTTCATAATGAATACATTAGACACAGAAAGATTCTGTACCTAATAATGCAAAATTAAAAAAGATTTTAGAAATGCCTCTGTGTAAGAAGGTACATGAAAGTTTTATATACAGAACGTTATATGAGGCTTGGTCACAATGTATTACCTGATAATTTCCAGGACTGTCAACATACAAGGCAAAGAATGCTATGAACTCATTTATATCCATGATATAAAACATTATGCAGATTCACATACGTAAAAAAAGTTGCAAGGATGAAAAGCCTAGGCACTTAAATACCATGAGGAATTATATAATCTCCTCTTAAGAGTTCAGAAGTCCAGTCCTATGGTATTTGCATTTTTCTGAAAAGCACTTTTATTTCTTAATACTGAATGTATTGGAAAAAGAAAAACCCAAACAGGAAATGTATGGTTCCTAAAGTAACAAACAGTAAAGACTTCACGTAAAGGGGAAATTGATGTTAACTGAATAATTGAGAGCACGAGCACGTTCAGAAAGCTGCAAGAATTTTACTATACATAGGGTCCTGAAAATGACCCAGAACTAGTAGGCAGCACATTATCTCTCTCTAACAAGAGGGCCAAGGGGAAAGATTTTGATGAAGACAGAAAATAAGTTTTCATTTTCTTGTGCTCAGAGAAAAATGCCTCCCTTTACCACAAGGCAAAAAAGCAAAACCAAAACATATTCTTCTAATACCACCTCCCAAAGAAGCCTAGGCCTGTTTCATACTGCCACAATTGCACGCAACTGGTTCTGCCAATTACACATCGCTTAGCACAATCCATTCCACTTGTACAGACAAGAAAATATCTTCCTTTTCTATCCCTTCTTAACCGTTTCTCTTCAGGTTGCTTCTTCAAGCAAACTATGACGCAACTTCTGTCATGCAGTCATTTTTCTATTAGAAATAGGACAGAGATCACAACCAAAGTTTACGTATAAGTATCAGCTTTTTGTTACTATTAAACTGAGCCAAAACACCTATGTTTAATCACTTATGTCACCCAGAGTGGCGCAAGTAACATTAAATTTAAGTTAGTATAGCAGTTAAGATTTTAAAATATTTCATCAGTTTATAATGTAAATCCTTATTCTTCAAAATGTATAAAACATCTTAAGTTCAACAGTTTAATGGTCAGCACTGGACAGAAATACAAGACATTTATGGAAATAACTACTCTAAGGTTTTTTTTTATATGATGACCTAATTCTAAATACCTTCCATGTTTGGAAGTCAAAATGAAACAAAGAAAAATTATTTCCATATAAGGGTAGATATTTTCAAAACAACACAAACTCTTACTGCACAAGTGTGGATCCAAAAGACAGAAAATTCAATGGCCCATTTTAAAGATCATGCTTAGGAGTAACTTAATGGTGAACAATGTTCAAAAGTGTTTTGTATTCAACCAGACATGATTAGCAGTTATTTTAAGACTTAACTAAAGTTCTAAGAAAAAAGCCAAAATGAAACAAAGCCAAAACATCTGAAACTGAAAGGCATTCTTCGTAAGTAAAATGTTTTGTTGTAAAAAAGGTTTTCTCACAAGTTTTACATCCAGTTAAAGTCAAACACAACATCATTAGAGCATCTCTCCACAAGAAAAAGAGCATTCATAAACACTCATCTGAAAACACCACTGTAACACTTTAGGTCACATTAGAAAGATTGAGGAAGAAAAAAAAAATTAAAAGGAAGGGAGAATGGGGAAAAGATCAACAATATTCACAGTAAACTTGTCAATCACACCATGACAGTTATTAGAAAAGTTATAAAGGACAGCTATGTTTCCTTTCTCTCTCTCTCTAGATCTTCCACACAATATGTTAAAACTAACAAACAGAAATTGATTCACTTCAGATAGATTTAATCCTTCCATGCTTTTCTTTCCTTTGGTTACAATAGCCAGACAAAACTGTCACATACTTAAAGAAGGGCTGCGCTAAAAATCAGGAATTTACCCACATCTACATGCTTAAATAACCAATTACTGGATTTGTAAAACTGAATAACTGATATTAGTCTATCACAATAATGGACAAAGTTATATACAATTACAAAAAAGAAATCTTTGAGTTGTAGAATCAAGCTCATGACTGCAGATAAATCATTTCGTATTTTCTAGGGATTTCAACTGTGAGCTTTTTTGATCTCTTTTTCACACAGAAAGTCATGACTATTTCTTTAATGCATTTTAAGAACATGCTATCACCAGGAAAAGATCTTAACTGGTTCTTTCTACTGTCTAAGTTTTTTCCACAGTTTCTGTAAAATCACGTGCTTCCAATTCCCTGTGCAACTCAGATACGCTGTTTAAAAATGCAGTTATGAAAAAACAAAAACTTTGAAGGATCTTTGTAGAAATTATGTACTTAAACTTTATTAAGTATTACATTTCCTACAGAAATGTAATCATGGTTAAAGTATGAAAATAAAATATTTTAAAGTGCTAAGCAGAAAGTCAACTAAAAGTACATACAACTACAGAAAAGGGAAAAGTATACCTTGTGTTTTTGTGGCCTCCCTGATAATTTTCTGAAGCTCTTTCATTTCAGCATCAAATTCTTCATAGTTTATTTCCCTAGAATCAACCCGAGGAGCCTGGAAGAATGAAGGGTCAGTTCCAAGGTAGGAACATTGAAGATGCCCATTGTCACTCAGAGTGACTATAACACCCTTCAAGCCCCTGCATAAAAAAAAAAAAAAAGTAAAGCTCATTAAGAAATTGTGAAGAATCACAGAAGCAATAACATTGAATTTATGCTGCTTCAAATGTTCCTTCTACACATATAATAGAACTTCCTGGTTTTAATGAGATTCTTTGACCAAAAGAAAACAACAATATTCATTCTTCAATTCAGATGCGTTTATTAATATTACTCCCACTTATTGCAATCACACCTAAGAACCAATCTGTGTTACATAGAGGACTAAAACATCACCCAAGTATCTCAGAATTCATATAATCAAGAAAGGTAAAGGAAAGGATCAGAACAAACAAGCTGAGCATACAGTACAGTTCTAAGCCTTTTTTATTCACAAATTGTTACTTAAGTTTTTCAAAGTATGGCTATTCAGGTTGGTACACAGGAAGAGGAATTAGCTAAATGGAACACAAAGTAAGGGAAGGGATGCATTAGAAGAAACCATGAACAGATGGAACGTGTTCACAGTGAAGACAGCAGTAGGACTTTGATGGCATCAGCAGCACCCCTAACCCATTCTTTGGCTGCTACTGTGCTGGCTTCAAACCATGGCTGGCTCTTCCCTGCAGTTATCTTTCTGAAAGGAAGCCACATGGATCCAGAAGATTCCCCTTACACTGCTCTGGGTCAATACAAATGAGTGTTTTATCAGCTACACCGTAGTCTCTTTTCTCCCAAGGGAATAGTACTTCATTGAATTTACTCCTACAAAAATCTCACTCATTTTGCTTATCTGATCATGTACCATGCAAATGCAAGATTTAGGAAAGCATTTAACAAATTATGAGACAACGGGGAGTACTGCCAACATTTTGCTTAACTTGAAGGTTATTCCTAAACAGAAGAGCAACTGAACAGTAAAGAAAGACTAGCATAGATGTTAACAGCAAAAGTTAGGAGAAAGATAACTTTCAGTTTATTTTTTAAAAAGCTTACTCTTAATTAACTTAAAATAAATAGAGTTTAATAAATGCAACTGTCATATAAAGCAAAGACAGATCAAATTTAATTCTTAGATATAAAACTTAATTTTGAAAAGAAAGCCCAATGCATTATCCCACTAATTAACCGTGTCAAACATTTCATTTATATAAGTGTTCAAGCTATAATTCACAAAGAATTAACAAAACTTCTCTCAACTGCCTCCTCTAGTACAATCCTCATTAAAAAACAGGTAGCTATATAAAAAACCCAGAATTCTCTCTGGTTTCCTATGTTGTCTTTTAGCACGGCTCCAGTACACACAGATAGGACACCTCGTTCCAAAATTTTCCATGGCAATAAGTAATTATGAAGGCAAACAGGTATCACAGATTAATTTTGATAACTGACAGTCCAATTGGACAGTTCAAAATGCCTTTTTTACAGAACGCTAAGGCCACAATCCCATTGTTGGTTTCAGAACTGCCATCAAATATTCTGGAAAAACTACGCTGTAACTGAGATCATCTGAACTCTGTACAGTTACATCGTAACTGCGTACAGAAATGAAGATCCCACTGAGCACTACAGAAATAAAGTAGTTGCTGCAGATAAGTTTGAGCTTTCTCTTTCTACAGAAAGTAATTTTTATTCAACGAATGAAATAGATCTCCTGGTTGAACTATGGAAACTGGTTGGTTTTTTTTTTTTTTTGGACAACAGGTATCCCCAGTTAGTCCCTCGCTGCAGGTGGAACATGCAAATCTGAAGTGCCTTCTGGAACAGAACACACATAATAGGACTCAAAACACACTGTTCCCCCTGTGTATTATATAAGCTCAGGTTAAACAGAAACAGTCTTCTCTTTTGCGAATACTGTTCCTATTGCCACGGAAAGGCTTCCAGCTACCACCGCAATTTTTAACGTATATTAACATTCACTACAAAAACTAAGCAAACTGTAATAGAAAGCTGTCTTTGTGAGCACCATAAGGCTGAACATGCCAGACCTTCCCAACAAATACTTTAAGAAAGGAAAGTAGAAGACTTAGTACTGATTTTCAACTTACATATCCACACAGTACCTATGTTAGCAGGTACTACTATGAATGTAATGTGATGGTTAAAGTACGAAATCCTGTGAATGGGATGATGTATTGGGTTTGTGTGGCAAGGTTTTGGTAGTGGGGGGGCTACAGGGGTAGCTTCTGTGAGAAGCTGCTAGAAGCTTCCCCCATGTCCCATAAAGCCAATGCCAGCTGGCTCCAAGACAGACCCACCGCTGGCCAAAGCCAAGCCCATCAGCAACAGTCATAGTGCCTCTGTGATAACGTATTTAAGAAGGGGGGAAAAAACCCACACAACCACAGCCAAAGAGAGGAGCGAGAATGTATGAGAGGAACAATCTGCAGACACCAAGGTCAGTGAAGAAGGAAGGGGAGGAGGTGCTCCAGCACCAGAGCAGAGATTCCCCTGCAGCCCATGGTGAAGACCATGGTGAGGCAGGCTGTGCCCCTGCAGCCCATGGAGGCCCACGGTGGAGCAGATATCCACCTGCAGCCCGGGGAGGACCCCACGCCGGAGCAGGTGGATGCCCGAAAGAGGCTGTGACGCCATGGAAAGCCGGCACTGGAGCAGACTCCTGGCAGGACCTGTGGAGAGAGAGGAGCCCACGCTGGAGCAGGTTTGCTGGCAGAACTCATGACACTGCTCCTGAAGGACTGCACTCTGTGGAAGGGACCCACGCTGGAGCAGGGGAAGAGCATGAGGAGTCCTCCCCTGAGAAGGAAGGAGCAGCAGAGACAATTTGATGAACTGACCGCAACCCCCATTCCCTGTCCCCCTGTGCTGCTCAGGGGAAGGGCGCAGAGAAAATCAGGAGTGAAGTTGAGCCCAGGAAGAAGGGAGGGGTGGGGGAAGGTGTTCTAAGATTTAGTTTTTATTTCTCATTACCCTACCCTGATTTGACTGGCAATAAACTAAGCTAATTTCCCAGACAGTTGAGTCTGTTTTGACCATGACAGTAATTGGTAAATGATCTCCCTCTGTCCTTATCTCAACCCATGAGCCTTTCATTATATTTTTTCTCCCCTGTCCAGCTGAGGAGGGGAGTGAGAGAGCAGTTTTGGTGGGCACCTGCCATCCAGCCAGAGTAAACTCACCACAGTTGGCCTATTTGTGACATGTAAACTTGGGGTTTGCATCCATTATTTCTGACAAATTACAAACTCTCAATCCAAAGTGAGAGGAAATGGAACTAAGCATGAGTCCTGGTTTCTCTGGCCGCTTGAGTGTTTGTTGCCGACTATAGTTGGTTTCCTTGCTCAGGACTGGGTCTGTTGTTGGAATTACATGCAGACCTGCTCATCCTAGTTTTCTTAATGTCCGAAAAGCTCCGTACAACACACATCTGTACTACATTTACAGAATTCTGGATGGCACATGGAACAAATACATTGGGCTAACCCTGAGATCTGTATATGAACAATGCAGGGAGACAGATTATTCTGAATACTTGGACCCTAACAGAGTCTTGGTAAGGTATGCAAAAAACACCCAATATGTAGGACTTAATGCCTGCCAAGTGTTTGCAAGGAATTTTGCCATACTGGCCATGGGTGCAGAAAAGTCTTTAAAAAAGGGGTATTTTTGAAGCAGATGCTACCATGCTACCAAATACACTGTCCCACACTTTGCTATTTAGTTACAGCAAATAATGAACTTGCTAAAAAAAAAA